TGCATTAGATGAATACCGGGCAAGCAGATGGGACTCCTGGCCTTGATTTGAATGTGGCAGAAGCCTGGGAGCTCGGCTACACAGGGAAAGGAGTAACTATAGGAATTATGGATGATGGTAAGTGAGAATTAATAAAGCATGACTCTCTGAGTAAATTTTCACTTCTTTCTGTAACTTATGAGAAATATGATCTAAATAAGACCTCAATAGCATGACTCACTCCCTTCAAAACATTGTGCTTCTAATGACAACACTGTAAGTTGGGGTTTTTTTAAAAATAAGAAATCATCCACGAAAGCTTCCCCTAGGGTGTAGTCAATGGATATTTACGATTCCTTTAAAGTTGCTGTGGGTAGAGCTTTCTTTCATGTATGCCTTATTTTGCAAATTTAATAAGCACCCAGTGGAACAGAAACTGAATTTCAGCTCTTTAGTGGGGGGGGGGGAAGCACAACAATCCTGTGCTATACAGATGAAAACTGTCCTAAAATTTTAGGACAATATGGAAGTATGTTTTTAAAAAATAAGTTGGCATTATTTTTTTAAAAAATAAATTTTTTATGGTATTTTAATGCTTGTCTCAGTTTCCATTTGATGAAATTTCCCATTTGCACAGTTCAGATTTCCACTGCAGTGCTAAAAATAAGCCACAGAGTGGCTGTGCTAAAACTGATCCACAGGGACTTACCCCTGCTTGTTATAGATATAGCACAGTGGGAAAGATGCTGCTTGCCTACACACAAGCACCATCCATTTGCACATGTCATGACGCATCGCTGCCTGTCTTCTTATATTTAGATTCACAGAATGATACGTTGTATTTCTGTGTGACTGGACACAGCTGGGACCTTCTGGGCTGCAAAAATCTATGTAATCCTTAACGGGGTGCTGGGTTATTTGACTAAAGCAGTGGTTCCCAATCTTGGGTCCCCAGATGTTCCTGGACTAAAACTCCCAGAAGCCTTCACCACCAGCTGTGCTGGCCAGGATTTCTGTGAGTTGTAGCCCAAGAACATCTGGGAACCCAAGGTTGGGAACCACTGGACTAGAGCAAGAAAACAGAAAGTTGTATAGGATGAGTTTGGAAAGGTTACTCTTCAGAACGACACCTCCTAGAATTTTTCTAGCCAGCATAGGTTTCTGGGAGAATCATAGTTCCCAAATTTTATTTTTCTATGCTCGGAGAAAGAAGCAATCTCTCATGCTCATAATCATCAGGCCACTGAATAAACCCAAAATAGAAAGTGGATCCTGAACATGGCAGCTCTTCAATGTATCCCTGAATTTCACTTATTTCACAAATCAATGTTGTTTTCCAGATTTTTAAGTAAGTTACTGATTGAACCCTCCCTTCGGAAAGGGGAGGAATTTGCAAAGGTTGAGTTGATATTTGCAGCCAGTCCCTTCTTTTTGCTGCTGATCTCATGCAAAGCAGCCTTCAGCTTATAACAGTTGTGAGGCTAAAGCATTATACACTGGAACTCCCAGGCGCCTTCCCCAGCCAACCTGGTCAATGTCCTGAGTGGGGGATTCTAGGAGTTGCAGTACAAGGCCTAAACCCAGTTCCTGGCCCCAATGTCCTGAGTGGGGGATTCAGTACAAGGCCTAAACCCAGTTCCTGGCCCCAACTACAGTAGATCCCTTGGGAGTGACTTCAGAGGGATTTATGTAAGTGTTGACTTACACAGAGTGTAGAGCACAGAGTGCTGCCCTGTGAAGATGCCGGCCACAGAGACTGGCGAAACGTTAGGAAGAAATACCTTCAGAACACTGCCAAAGAGCCCGAAAAACCCACAACAACCATGCTGACTTACCATTCAGCAGTTGTTTCCACATGTATGCTCTAATCAGGGCTATCAGTTGGATTTAGGCCCACAAAATCTGCTTTTTTAAAGCTCTGTGTTAGCTGATTGTTAGCTTGAGAGTCAAGTTGGGCACAAACTGCTGGTTTGGCAGTTTATGCCAGTTCGGCAGAGGACCAAAGAGGTGTTCCATGATTCAGCACCCCAACCCCTCTGGCGGGTGGCCATTTGGGAGCAGCACCACTGCTTCCCTGCTTTGCCTCCTCTGTGGGCTGCCTCTGAGTGGGCATCCACTGGAGGCAGCGGTGCACCAAGAAGCAAAACAACTGTTTGGCCATCTGCCGAGTCGGCACCAACTGACGAACCGATGGTTCATGCCCATCTTTACTTGAGAGTATAATAGCAACATTTTGGTGCGGTGCCTGCTCCAGATGAAAGGAGAGAGAGAGAGAGAGAGAGAGAGAGAGAGAGATGTGATTCTGCCCCCCCCCAAAAAAAAACCCCGTCTCCCTCTCTTATGCAGAAGTGGCTAGATGCCAATCTCAAGTTTTTTCAGACCAGCTTTCTGGGAGCTCTGGAACAAGAGACCAAAGGGTGATGATCCCCAGGGTAAAGTTGCTGTCTGGGCTGCCAGTTGTCAAGAACCGTTCAACAGTTCTGTAGAAATAAAAGAATAGCCCTGGAATTGCTATACATGGCATTTTATGGATTGAAAATTATGACTCGGTGGTGAAGTGTCCAAGCGACCCACCCGTTCCCAGCCACTAGCTTCTTATTTGCTCCTTGCTTCTTTGCAATAAACACAAGAACATAAATCTACAATTAGAGTAGCTGACAGGACAGAGAAGAAATACCCTGCGGAAAAGAAAGTAGCTTTCATGCTAAGCAAAGGATTTGTGTAATCCCCAAAAGGCCTTGCTATATTGATATTGATATTGATTGCTCATGCCACTCTGTCAGAACTGCTGTGATGAGGAGCCATATGAGGTGGACGATAAGTGAATGGGAAAGTGAAAGTGTGATTTGATCTGGGAGTGTTGTTTGTTTGTTTGTTTTTTGCAACATTCCACTCTGTTAGCTGTAGGAAATATTACATTTGTGGTGCAGAGATGCAATTAGCTTTTATCCCACCCTTCACGCTGTTCAGAAATATTTATTTTCTCCTCTCTCACTGTTCTAGCCAGCTGGAGTCCAGCTGTATAAGCCCCTCTTAATGTACAGTGGTGCTGAGCTGCAGCACTATGACTAGCTATCCAATACTATTACAGCCCTAATGCGTGCCACCACACCCTAACCGTTGTGAAAAATAGAAGCATTCTGAAGTATCAACAGAATTTTGGTTGAATATTCTCCTGTTCTCATTAGTCTTTTTTTTTAATCCTGCAGTTTTGTGTTGTGTTGTGTTTTTTTTTTGTGTGTGTGCCTGTATAGAATCCTGGGCTTGTTGGAAACTGATTAGGAAGGCTTAATAAGATAATATACAGTCCAGACCTCTCTGTGCCTGGCTTTCACCAGGTATGACAGTTTAGACCCTGAGAACTTTGGTTCTCAAGCCAATAATAGATCGTAACTGATTTTACCCTAAGCAGGAGTGGGCAGCTTCCAGACATCTGTGAGCAAACATTCCCCTGCCCCCATAGTCTTCTCAAATATTATTTCATTTTATTCATTAAAACCTCCCCCATGCTACCCTCTAGTGGCTGCAGGGAGCAATTTTCAGCATCTGTTTAAGCTGTCCTGAGTTATTTTAAGGGCCTGTCTACATTTCTCAAAGAAACCTCGCAATGCTGTATGTAGCATTTTAATTTTATCCAACTCAAGCCACTTGGTTTTTGAATCATTTCCTGCATTCTTACTTAGTTACTGAAATGCATATATTTTGTTAATGTACCAGTTTGGGAGCCTGCACACACATACACACACACACATACACACACACAGACACACAGAGAGAGAGAGAGAGAGAGAGAGAGAGAGAGAGAGAGAGAATATATATATATATCCTGTGTTTCTCCTTAGAAAAGGACCCAAGGCAGCTTACAGCATTTCAAGACAATATTTAAGAACAAAACAATGAATATACAAAGGTGGCACACAATCATTAAAAAGAAATATTTAAAGAGAAAAACACTAAGTACAGAAATATTAATAAGGAACAAAAAATCTTAGAAATGGGAAACACAAGCAATACTAAAAACACAGCCATCTGAAAAGTTCATGTTCAGGTAGCCAGTAATTGAGGGAAAGCTTGCCTGAAAAAAAGGTCTTCACTTGCTTGTGGAAGGACAACGAAGATGAGTCCAGTCTGGCCTCCTGTGGGAAGGAGTTCCAAAGTCTGAGAGCAGCAACAGAGAAGGCTCTCTCCCGTGTGCCCATCAAATGCACCTGTAAAGCTGGTGGGACTGAGAGAAAGGCCTCCCTTGATGAGCTTAACATCAGAGCCGGATCATATTGAGAGACACAGTCTTTGAGGTAGCTTGAGCCCAAGTCATTTAGGGTTTTATAGGTTAAAAGCAGCACTTTGAATTGTGCCTGGAAATGGATCAGCAGCCAGTAGAGTTGTTGTAACAGAGGGTTTATGTGATCCCTGTAACCCACCCCAGTCAGCAGTCTGGCTGCTCCCTTTTGTACCCTCAGCTTGTGTTCTTAAATTGGGTATGCATGGAGAGGCTCCCTTTTAAAACTGGTTATAATGTTCACAAGAGGCATAAGGCAATTAAGAAAACTGTATGTGGAAATAAATTACCTTCTGGTGGCTGTTTATTCTAACTTGCTTCCTACGAAAATAAACTGAGTCAGAGAAAAATAAATATACACTTTGTAATTTATTATGTGAATGATGTGAAACTCAGCACAGTTTTTAACACAGGGCAAATCTCAGTTTTTTTGGGCTGTGTGACCAGGCTCTAAGAGACCCCCAGTTTGAAAAAAAACTTGAAAAGCCTGGGCCTAAAGCGATAGTGGTGGCGGGAAGGATGCCTTTGGCTTCTTTTATGCTCCCAGATGTAACCATATAAATAGAGCAGGGGCTTTTCAAGAAAACATATATGTAATTATAACAATATTGCTGCTATATCTTTGAGGATTAAATGTCTGTAAATACTGAAGTCAGTTCCATTTTGAGCATCATTGAGAGGCTGAAACTGTTGGCATTGTTCATTTTGAAGTCAGTTCCATTTTGAGCATCGAGAGGCTGAAACTGTTGGCATTGTTCATTTTTTAGGCACATCCAAGGTTAGCACATTTTATGGAATAAATCTGTCTTCTGAGCGATGTTGCTCATCTATGTTTTATAGCTGCAGGTTAAAAGATAGATGTCTTGGAACATAATGCTGCAGCTCAGAATAAAGTCTTGGTTAATGACTTTGCTTCAAAGCACAAACTGACAAAACATTGGCCAGGATCGTTCCACCAAATAAAGGCAGGACATGCAAGCTTATTCTGAATATCAGTTGTGTTGCAGTTGTCCTCTACCTTGCTGCACACATCTCTGAGATCGTCCTTGCCACACATAACTTTGTTGTTAGGGCATACAGTCCACGATGAATTTATAGTTGGCTCATGTGCCACCCATAGGGCCAGACCAAGACATTTTGATGCCCCTGAGGAAAAACAAGATGGTGCTCCATTCTTCCCAAACCAACCAGACCAAGCAGTTGAATTTTACATCCATTCCAACAATGTGGCAATGTCTCCCTTTGCATCTGAGGGTAGCAGTCTTATTTAGGGAGAATAAAAGAGGCCACATGGCACATTCAAAGGTGTTATGTGATGTTTGCTCCCTCCCTTTCCAATAACTGTCTGAGGCTGCCACTGCAGTCTGTGTAATGGCAAGACTCTGCAGTTCAAGCAGACTGGAAGCTGAGGAATCAAAGCAAACGCTGGGATTCATGAGTGCTAGAAACATCCTTATGAACTTCCAAGTCAGTTGTAGGTCCAGGTGAAGGGAAAATGGAAAAGCTTGAATTTGAAGAAACAGGAGAAGCATTTCTGGAAAAAAAGCAGCAGGAGCAAGTTAATTATATGAAGAATTATGTGGGCCTCTGCAATGGAGGACCGACAGAGTAGCTTCTGTATCTTAATGCTGTGAGCAGTGTAATGTTGTCAGTGTCATTCAAACCAAGGGTTTTTTTTTAACCGTCATGATGTTATATTTTTCAGTGTACCTAGCTTTGATTAAATTGTTTGATTTGTAAGAGTATCTGCATGATGGATTATGAGCATTTGTGAGCCTAAGCTTTCAAAGCAATAAATCTTTCGGGTTTTTTCTTTTTGTCTCTGTCTTCAATTCTGAACACGTTTCTGAACCGACATTAAAAAACAAACATACAACAGAGCTGTAACATTTTAGTATTTATAATTCCTAGGCAATACAAAACTCAAGGATTAAAAGCTTGAATTTAAAGTGACAGCAGCTCTAAAGTCAGTATCCCTTGTAATAGGCTTACAAAATACTGTAATTGGGTTTAGTGGCTCTTGACAATACCATGACTTCTGCATCATCATCATCATCATCATGACTTCTGGAAGTGTTCATTATGGTCCATGTATTGTTTTTGATTTTTGCAGGAATTGATTATCTTCATCCAGATCTGGCCTCCAACTATGTGAGTACAGAATTCTATATTGTTCTCACAATTTTTAAAAAGCGAAGCTCTACTGGCTGAGAGTGTAAACAGCATAACTATGCTCTTGATATCCGAGACAAACAAAACTGACATAAAGCTACAGACAAATTTATCCCTCTAACTACTCATATAAGAAACAAAACATTACATATACTCTCAAGGGGAGTTACATAGTCGTGATGCTCTGAATGAGTTTTTATTACCAATACCAGAAATTAATACAGTCTCAGTAGTTCCCTTTGAAACACTGGAATTTACCTTTCGTGAGAAGTTCTACCCAGATGGCATCACTTCTTTTTCTCTTCTCTCCCCTCCCCTTTTCTTCCTCTTTTCTGTCTTTTCATTTTCTCCATCCTCCAGGATTGGGGACGTTGGCAATGCTAGAAGGACCAAAACAAAAGAGACAAAGTCAAACCTCTACCTTAGGTGAAATCTAAAGTGTTCAGTTATTAAGGAAATATGTGGAGCCCATATACAACAAGGGAACTGCTAGCCCCACCCCTCCATCTTCCTGTTGAACACAGAAACGTGATTGTGGGAAGAGAAGAAGGCTGCAGTCATGAGAGAACCTCTCCATGTGAGGCACAACTCTGAGGGGAGCTCAGGTGGAAAGACCATCTGGGCGCAGCAACCTCCCTTTCTTTTGGAGTGATGTGTTTCTGTGTTTAGCATGATGACAGATGGGACATGGCTAGTATGCGCCACTCAACACGTGTGGATGCAACACATTTTTAAATGATTGAATAAGACTCTAGTCTTAATTACAAGTGTATACACATTGAAATGAATGTGAGTTATTGTCCATCATGTATGCAAGTCTTATTGATTTGAATGGGTCTACTCTATTGAGAGTATTCCCTTCTTTCACTGGGGCAAAGATATACATACATGATTTAATGACCCTCACCCCAATAAAAATCGTGCATCTGAGAAAGAATTCAAATGGTTGACTTGAATAACTATGTGTAAGATAGCAATAATGTGTCTTTCAAGAAAAGTCATTCTCCTTGGAAGACACCATCGCTTGCTCAAAGCCATATAGTAAGGCAATGCACATACTTTAGCACACTAACATAGCAGGTACTGCAGTGGTGTTGAAGCTGTAACTGCTTGATGATGGTCCCCGTTGTATGCTCACGTTCAAGCAAACATGAGCAGAGGTGCTCTTTCTTGTCTTGTTTGTTTTTGACACGGAATGAAACAGGAAGGTTGCGGGGGCATTTGAAAAGAGGCTTATATGAATGACATTGCTCACCAAACCTTATTAGCCCTCACAAGCGCTATGTGCATATTTTTGTAGGTTTTAGATCCTCGCTCCTGTAAACCTGGTAGTCCAGTTGTTTGCACATTTGCAAATTTTCACAGATGTACCTTCACAATTTGACCCCAATTGCACATCAGGTTAGCTCTTCTTGGTATGAGTCACACTGAGAGTGTCATGCTTTCCATGATTTAACACATCTCTCAAATCTTCCCATGAGAAACCTTCTGTTGAGTGGGAAGAAAAGACACACGCAGCCAAGAGAAGAAAATTGGAAATGGAGCTGATGAAATATTGTACAGGATGGGTGACATTTAGAATTGTCCTTTCGAATTCCCTCTGACAACAAAATGTATACTTTTTGTGACAGATAATATAGTGGGCTGTTTTAAATAAATGCAGAAAGGGAATACAGTGATGCAGAAGTGGCCTTCAAGTCGACTCATGAGATGTACAGCAAAGAGTTTCTACAAAATATGCCAACGGCTGAGAAAGTCCAGTAGCCACAAGGGCGATTAGCCCACTCTTAGTGGTATTCCAAGGTCTTGCATTACAGGCCCTTCTTTAGGTGCCCAAGACATTTAATTAAAAACACTTGGGATCTCACCAACAACCTTCTAAATACAAAGAATAGATCTGGCCATCTTTGATTGAATAAATCACAACTGACCATGCTGGCTTACAAGTTTTGGGAGCTGTGATCAGAAATGCAACTTTTCCAACCTCTGCTTTCACTGGGCCCAAATTGCCTTCTGCTTTGTACTAGCTAGTTTATTTTCCTTTAGGGAAGAAGGGAAAACTATATGAAATGAGGTTGTACCTGATGATTTAAAGACTGTGCTGCAGCTTGCCTTTGGCATGTGGGATTGATATCCTTAGGTGGATATGCTCTGAAGAAGTTGTCTTTTTAAAAAATAATGCAACATGTACAAAACAATGGTCCTGAGGTTTTAATGAATTGATATTGCCTTTTCCCCAGTGGCATCCAGGCCATTAATATTTAAATCCACAAATTAATGTTATTTAGTTTGGGTGATTCTCTCCATTTTTGACTGCATATGAAGGAACCTATACTAATGGGACTTAATAATATTTTAAATGGTCCCCATATCTTAGTAGCCACATTCCTCTTCCTTTCTAATGGAAGACGAACACTTCAATATCTTCCGGGTGACATCCTGCTATACATATTGGGCCTGTAAAATTGTATTGCTTCATCAAGCTTATGATGAAAACTTCATTGTTTTTGACATCAGGAGAGAAGCATTTTCTTTCTTTTGAAGTGTAAAAGCCTTTTGAAATCATATATTGTAGTCAGCAGTGGGTATTTTCCTTTGTTTTAAAATGCATAATTGAGCATCTGGTACAGAGCTTAAAGCTCAAAGACTGGGAAAATACTTTCCAATTGTGTATCTTTTAGAATGTCAAAATTGCTTCTGGAAACCATTGAGGTCACCTTGACATTTTTTTCCCCTCAAGTTTTGTGGCAGTGTCAGCTTACATTAGATTCATAAAATTGCAGACAAACAAAGAAATCTGCTTGCCCCAGCTCTTGTATTGTGATAAAAATGAAGTAGAGGAAATGTTAACCTTCCAGAGTCTTCAGTTCCAGGAAGCCCCAGCTAGCGTAGCCAATGGTAAGGGACTGTTACAATGGTAATGGTAGCAGGTTAAACATCTGGAGGCCCAAGTTCCTCAGTGTTGTGCTGGACATCCATACTGAGATAATGGGTTGTTTCTGGCTGTCCCTAAATGATTACATTTTTCTTTGAGAGGTTTTTCCAATGGTGAAGACATTCTTTATTCAATTTAAATTATTACTCATTTAACTTTAATTGCTGTATCAGCTTCTTAAAATGATGTGAGTGGATAACACAACTACCAGCTGTACTTGTTAGGGATTTAATGAATACTCCTGAAATCCCTCATTTTCATTAAGTCACCTTATCCTGACACAATAAGACTCTTAGATGCTTTCAGCACAAGAGAGAGACAAGTGGTGCCTCTTTTTTTCCCTGTCAAGGTTTATATAAAATGCTTATAGGGCTGTCTGTACAAAAAGGGCATCTTTTCCCTTTAATATGTAAAGCAAACATACAGCAAGTACAGAAGAATAACCTAATTTTTTTTAAGATGCAAAAACCCCATCCAGTGCTTCAGGTTTCTTAAAAAACAGGAAACAAAACAACCGGTATTGCAATTTTGCATACAATTTGAGCAAGTTATGTATTTTGCTTAAAACCATTGAATTGATAGCACCACAAAATATTTCCAGTGGGGTACTTTAACGTTAGGGGGAAAGGCTAGGGAATAAAAGTTCAGTGGGGTGGCTGACATAGGCAGATGAAGCTAAGCAACAAGGGAAGGTCCCCATGGAGCAACAGCTCACATTGTTGGCTAAAGTTGGAAGACTTTACCACAAGGTGTGAAAAATATTTGCAACTGATCATACATTTCTGTGCTACAAACAGCATCTCCTGACATGCAAAGGACAAACAAGGCATTTAAAGTAACTTCAGAACCTTGAGTACACAGCAAGGTGTATGTGTGGTGGGAGTCCTTGACTTAAGAAACATCATAAATTCATTCCTTTGCATCTACCCCCAAACCAAGAAAAGCAAGCAAGCAATAAAGGCAAAAATATGATGGAGCTCTCAAACCAAAACTACTAGAAAATATGGAGATTTATTTTCCCATTACTACTTGATGCCTTCTCTTCTTCGGTGTCTTGTGGTGATAATTAAACTGACCTTAATATGAATTTTCTGAACAGAACCTATGGATTAAAATTTCAACACTCATTCATTGACTTGAACATGACATAAAGAACACAGAGTGCAATCCTCCATCACAGGTTCTTTAAAACTATTATTGTTATTATTTGTTACATTTTATCCTACATTCCAGTAAGTCCTGGATAGAATATATGACCATTCCCCATCCACCCCATATTACTTTACAACAACCCTGTGAGGTAGGTCAGGACGAAACCACCTGAGAGCCATTCCAGTTGAATCCTATGTGGAAAAGAAGCTCTTCTACACAGAAATTGTAATATTCTTGCAAAGCTTGGCATTATTTCAATTATTTTATTTTATTTAAATGACCATAAAACGTGGAGGAATCTCATGAGATTTCTCAGGGAAATATGGTGCAGAGAAAATTTACCAAGAGATGAAAACTGTGGTTTTCTTTGTCCTCAATTTCTCTCTCAGAAAAGAAGGTTAACAAATTCATACCCCAACTCTGAGCAGGGTGTGACTCATCCTAACATCCTGGCGTATGTGCTCATGCACTAAAAGCTAGCCGGTCCTATTAAAGGCATCTTCCTTTTATAGTCCTGATAAAAGGTAAAGAACTGTCAGAAAGGAGAGGCTGGAGCAGGAATGGGAGGTTCAGAGCTGAACAAGAGCAAAAGGGGAATTGCTTCTTCTGAAATTCCCCTACTCAGGAAAGCTGGGTGGTAAGGGAATATTTGTGGAACCATTATTTCAAAGTGCTCCTTAAGTCAGTGGCTAGAAATGGGATTTTTGTATTTTAATAGAACAGGGGAGGCTCTTTTTTCTTCTTCCCATTTTCATGTTCTTTCATTGAAAGGAAATATGAATGGTTCCTATTAACAAATGAGGATTCATAAAGGTTTCTTGGTCTTTTTCATGCTTCATCTTTCATTTCACCTTTCTTTTACCCTTTATATGTGAACCCTTTCTTTCATTCTTTGTGTCTGATCTTTCTTTCACTTTTTGTATGTTAAACAGCCTGATAAATTTTTCATCCAATAACACTGCAAGGGTTATAACAAAGACAGAGTGGTAGGACCAACCTGGGCTGTCAGCAGCCAATCAGAAGGTCCAGAGTGAGAGGGGTGTTGAATATACAGAAGGTCCTGAAACCCAGTGAGGAGTGGGCTGGTTTCCTTCCTTCCTTCCTTCCTTCCTTCCTTCCTTCCTTCCT